GTGTGTGTGTGTGTGTGTGTGTGTGTGTGTGTGTGTGTGACTACAGCTGCATGTCTGATGTATAGGACATATCGCCACCTATTGGCGGATTTAAATGATATTTTGTGTTTTGCTATCTAGGAAAATTGTGGCATCTTACCAAGAGCTAATAATACCTCTTATTATAGCTTGTATAGCTTACGGTATTATTAGCTCTTGGTCTTACTATTAATAGTAAACACACACAAACAGTAAAAGCACGTTAGTCAGATTAACTTACCAAGTGAAAACGAAACATGTTTGTTATAGAAAAATAATGAAAACGAACTCGTTACGCTCATTCTATCACAAAGGTGATTATATGTTGTTTATGTTGGGTTTATTATATTATAGTTTGATTGTATAGGTTGTTTATATTAGGTTGCTTATGTAAGTTGTTTATATTAGGTTGATTATATAGGTTGTTTATATTAGGTTTATTATGTAGGTTGTTTATATGAGGTTGATTATGTGGGAATTCATTCTATACGCTCACGCGCCATTAAGAGGCACTAGAGCGAAGCGCGTCATGCTCATTACTCACTACAAACACATCCGTACTTTGATAGGAGTCTTCGTAATTATTCCAAGGCCAACAAACAAGGACATTATTCAAAGAGCGTACATGATGGTATAAATAAATAATTGCGCACACGAGTGAGCAGAAAAACGATTATAAACGCTCGATTAAAAATAATAATTAATGAACTTAATAATAAGTAACAAACTTAATGGATGAAAACATACTGTCGTTTGCAATTACTAGCACAAGACCCCAATGCCCATAAAAAGTCGAGAAAAAGTTTTTAAACTAAATCATGAACGTACTAATGTTTAACAATACTATCTCCTTTGCCACATCTTGTCTTCGCATATATAGTAAACCTTAGAAACAATTCCTCACTATCTCACCGTATTCGAATAATCCATGACGAGACCATAGATAACACGTCATAACAACGCCTACACAAGGTTCCCTACGTCATACGTCATACCTGGTCGGCGCATCCATGCTTCGTGACGTCACGGGATGCGGAGGAAGCTGCGCAGGGAAGCGAGGTTTCTAGTTTCTTAACGAGCTCGTTAACCCGCATCTCTCCCGACAATGTCTCCGCTTCGGCATCTGTCGGCAAATAGCATAAACACTTCACGACAGTACAGTATATACATCTAGTGGCAGAATGGATCTCCTTAGAATAATCTCCTTAGAATTCAATCCGAGTGCGCAAGGTTTATTACGTATAGAAGAGCGTCGTAAAACCGCCTCTGCCGCGTACAATAAATTAGTAGCACCGTTCATTGCCCTTATACTGATGCTGTTATTAAAGCGGATGTGTCCTCGAATACATTACTAATAAACGTGCATAATCTTACATTTCAAACTTTACGAAGTCATACAAATCGTACGGTAATGAGCTACAAATATGTTATGATATTCTAACGTAGTAATAATCAGTGCTAACGGCATCTATTTATAATTATGACGACGTAATATATGATATATATATATATTATATATATATTATATAATATCTGTTAGATGTACGACGAATCTTCGCTCTCTCTCTCGCTATATATATATATATATAGTATAATTATAGTACCATAAATGACAATAACGTTTATGCGTAATCGCTTATGAAATAATGACGATGTATGAATAATAATAGATGATAATAATAGCCATTGTTGCTTTGAAGGTCGTGTGTGTATTTTGTGTGTAATTTTGTTTGCGCATAACTGCGCACGACCGCTTACAAATTCAACGAATTATCAACGCGATGTGTTTCAACGCGGGTTACTCGCTCAGCAACCTCATGTTAATAGCTCATGTTATATCTGATGTTAATATCTGATGTTAATATCTGATGTTAATATCTCATGCTTCTTACCTTCGTCAGGTGTGTTGTCAGGACGTTCGACAGGCGCAGCTAAATGTGAAATTAAATACGTCGCTGTCTCTACTGTAATAACTTTAGATGACTCTGCCGATGGTAGTAAGGTGCTTAGTGATGGCTCGCCTGCGGATTGGGCGCCTTTCTCACATCGGTGATCCGATGTTTGTCGCGTGAAATAATTCGCAGCGGACGTCTGACAATCTTCGGCCGATGCTGAGTTGCCGAGTTTCGCATCTTCATCTTCGCTGGCGTTTCCGAGGTTGTCATCCGTATCCAGCGTCTGCTCCCGGTCACGCCACCTGGCGGATGAGTAGCGCCTTCTGGTGAGATTCATTGATTCGATGATTCTATTCACAGAACCGTGTGAATTTATCTCATTCAAGATCGCCGACGTCTCCTGTGACGTCATCACGCCGGTGACGTCATCCACATCTGAAGTTTCCTTCGCGGCGCTAGTCTCGGGCGAGAGCGCCACTGAAGTGATGAGGATGACGTCACGAGCTACGTCATCATCATCGACTGCTGAGTTGTGTTCGGATGCGGACGCGTGGTTCCCACTCTCGCCGTCAGAGGCGCTGCTGCTGGCTATGTCCTCGTCTGAGTTACTACCGCTACTGTAACCACTACTGCTCGTCTGCAATATATATATATATATAACCGAAAATAACGAATGCATGCATTACAAAAGTATATATATACTAGTATATCAAAAGCAATCATAATAAATTTCGAGTTTAACAAATAACAGCATTAATTAACTGGACATAATTAATTAAGCTAATTAGTTAACAATAATGCGCCCTAGATAGTCTATCTACCGTTGATAGGACGGGTCGAGCTCGGGTTACAGACGGTACTGCCGCCTCGTGGGAAGGCTGGACAGGCGGTGATCCACTGAACAACTTGATGTTCAGACGTGACTCGTATAGATCCTGGTTAATGTCGCTAACTGATTTACAAACCCGCTCTTCGGAGTCGACCTGTAAAGAAATGTGAGAAAGAATTAGTTTATGATGTCATGTATTTACACGAAACAGTGCACTTCGGCGTTGAAATTGATCACTCCAGCAAATAACTCATATCCCATCCTACAAGAGAGAGACACACATATCAACATGCACATATGCTTCGATAGCACGTAATATAATATAAGATAATCTCCTCTTTGTTCTAACCGTTTTGTTCGTCATATTTTCGCTCGTCGTCATTTCTTGTATTTCCTCAAAGGTGGCGTGCGTGTTCACCAGCTTCTGCGTTGCTATGGTGGCGCGTGTTTCCATGACGACGGATTCCGTGCGCATCATCTTCAACGTGACAATGGCATGATCTAAAAATTCAAGCATCATCACTGATTAACTAATAAATTAAAGACCGCCGTTCAATTCGGTTTATTTTAAGCGTATGTTCCGATGCCCAGATGTGCGGACGCTTGAACTTAGAACAATTATTACAAGCCAGTTACTACTCCCTGGAACATGTCGGAGTTTTCTATCATGTATCTCGTATCTAATGCCCCGTATCTGCCATCCCGTATCTCGTATTACATTTTTCATGTAGAGTTTTGTAACATATGCAATAAATTCTCGCGTTACGCTTCTCTGACAATAACACCATAAGCGCATACATAATTTGGTAGCAATTATAGCAAAAACACGAAAGAATTTCGTGCATAAACAAATAAACCCACATCAAATTGTAGCAGGATTATGCTAAGCGTTCGTCAGTATATGTGTTATTCACCGATTATATTATGCTAAACGTCTAGTTTTTTTCATCAAAAATTCTCCACCAAATCAGGCCAAACCAAAATCCCGTAAATACGGGTTGGCAAACCGATTCGATTGTATAATTATTACGATGGGACAGCGAGTGCATCGATGGGCGTGTGACAATGAGGGCAAAGTGCTTTCCGATTCTATGGAAAGTGTCTGTGGTGCGAGTATTTAACGGTGGGTCACGATAGTCACGATAGAGTCTGAGCTATCACGAAGCCTGAATCTGTACGAAGCAATCGCGCTGACTGCTCTTCTATATCACTAGTTGTCAATAGTGGCGTATTCAGAAATTGATGAACAAGGGGGCGAAATGTACCTTGGCTGCCGCTGACAGACCCGCGTGCTTACGGCACGCCAGTGCGAGGGGAGTCTGGGTGGGGCATGCCACCCCTAGAAAATTTTGAAATATTTAAGCAATTTTCCTGCAATCTGAGGCATACTGTGAGCCATATTCTAATGTCTGATGACACTATCTCAACCTTAGACTCAACCCTACAATTTAGGATTTAAAACACTTTGCATGATTATTAAAACACAGGTAAGAATTGCATTAACATTAATTTTATAAATAAAATTTGGTGTTAGCACTATGCCAATGTTTCAGTCATTGAAGTAAATTGAGACACTACTTGCCCTGGTGTCATTTTTCGTGCACGGCAATTGTCGAATCCATGTTCTAAACTAACTAGT